GGCTTGTTTTTTGGTTATGTTTGCAAAATTTATTAAAAAGTTTCGTTATAATTATTTGTTTTACCAAATGTTGTTGGCATTGTATTTATTTGTTTAAAATGTTTATTATTTGTATATATATTTAATTATTTGTTTGTTTAAATTTCATTTTTTAAAATTGTAAAAGAAATGTCTTGAGTACATTAAATATCTAGTTAATTAATTAGTTGATATTATACATTTCAATGTATGTTCGATTGATATTGATTGATTGATTGAATAAATGATTGATTGAATAAATGACTGATTGAATGATTGATTAATTGTTATTAATATCTACTTGAATGGGTTTCAAGTCACTGTAGCAAAAGTAATGAAACATTCTATTTTGCTATGATAGTGCTTGTCACAATAAAAAATATTAAATAAATGTATATACTGAAATATAAATAGATGTATAAATATCAATAATCTTAACATAATACAGCATTTCTTCTCAAATTTTCATCTTGCATACACCACCACACGCACCCGTGTATGCTGTGTGTGCGTGTGTATGTGTGTGTGCGTATGTGTGTGTGTGCACGTGTCGAAATAAGATTTTTGTTAGATGATTTTAGTTCAGTTTAGATTTCTGACTTTTAATTATAATATAACCATAATTTTTGTCATTTTTTTTCCTTCAGTCTATTATTATATATTATATTTATCAAACTTTTTTGCTATCACACTGCATATTATGTATGTCTGTTTGTGTGTGTGTGTGTGTTGTGTGTGTGTGTGTTGTGTGTGTGTGTTGTGTATGCGTGTGTGAATTTGATTTTGAACCGAATTAATAAACAAATTATATTAATTTTTGTTATATGCCAAATAAATCAGTGTGGTTTCCAACTTAGTTTGTTGACGTTCCTTTTATCTAGTTATAACGATGATGACGATGATTAAGGATGATATTATCGTCCGTAATGATGATGATGATGAGGATATCGTCCGTGATGATGATGATGATGATGATGATATCGTCCTTGATGATGATGATGAATTATCAGTAATGATGATGATGATGAATCGTCAGTGATGATGATGATGTGTCGTTGATGATGATGATGTGTCGTTGATGATGATGATGATATCGTCCGTGATGATGCTGATGATAAAGAGGTTGATGATGACGATTATTAAGAGTTTAATGATCGAATGTTTACATCAACATCACCATGTTGGGCCATGATGACGTCAGCATCCGTGCCATAGTTCCTAATTGATAAGACGGAGAACTATGTGTACTTTTTCTTATTTTATCCACTGAACGTACACGCGCGTGTGTGTGTGTGTGTGTTTAATATGTGCGTGTGTGTGTGTTTAATATGTGTGTGTGTGTGTGTGTGTGTGTTTAATATGTGTGTGTGTGTTTAATATGTGTGTAACTGTGTGTGTGTGTGCGTGTAAATAGTATGTGTAAGTGTGTACGTGTGCTTTGTAGCAGTTCAAAATACGTCGTTGGTTCTAATCAGTGCGTGCATATCTTTATGCTAATGAGTCTTAATTTATTCATACTTTTAATTTATTCATACTTTTAATTTGTTCATACTTTTAATTTATAATTCTTAATTGCGCTCCTAATAAAGTTTTACTGCTGCTAAATAATATTAACGAGCGTTTTATAGGAATAGTTGTATAATAAAGTGCTGTTCTTGAATGTGTATAGAGGTACCGTGTGATTGTGGGTATATCTTAATACCTCTTTGTGTATTTACGAGTTTGTTCATGGATGAATTTGTTTCCGTCTGGGTATGTGATGATTGTGTTTGTGTGTATGTACGTGCTTCTATTTGTATGTGTGTATGTGCGTGTACTTGTATGTGTGTGTATATGTGCATATGTGTGTGTGGTGTGTGTGTGTTAATGTTTTTATATCTTGCTCACAAAAACCGTAAGACAAAACTTCGTGAGAATGATAAACTTAACTTTTTTTAAGATTTGAAGCAAATGCTGATCATATTATTTTGTTAAAATATTATACAAAGAAATAATTATTGCAATGTATAATTTAAACATATATTGAAAAAGAAGTTTTATTAATTAATATCTCAATCTAAATTATTTCCTAAGTATTTATCAGATATATTAATTGAACCTAAACGCCCCGGTTTACCGTCGTCTTCTTCCCGCTTTTTCTTAACTCGTGTTAAACACTCTTTTGCCAAATCTGCTTTTTCTGGTCCTTTTCTCTGGAACTCTCTACCTACTTCTCTGACTACTTCTCCATCACTTGCGAAGTTCAGAGCGGATCTCAAGACCCATCTGTTTTCAAAATTCATTGAGGAGCGCTGTTGAACATCGCGGAAATAGCGCTTTATAAGCTAATTGATTGATTGAAAATTGATTGATTGATAATGTATTTTAATTAGAATAAATAAGATAATTGGTGTTCTTTGTATTTTAATTTTTATAACGGCTACATTGCAAAAATTAACTTTGTCATATGCCATCGAAGCAGTAACAAAGAATTGTGTATCTATATAATGAGTTGCCCCATACTACCTGCTATTTTATGTACTTCAGATTTACAGCTCTACAGACTCGTGCACAATTTTTTAGATTAATAAGAATTAGATTCGAAGTTTAGAAAAATGTCTGAAGCAGAAAATGAGAATGTTCTTCTGAGTGAGAAATCGATCAAGATACCTACAGAGGACTTTTTTGGATTTAGGAGTCTCTTGTTGTTTGATCACATCTTCTACGTGAGTGGAGATGAAGTGTTGGATGAGGAGTGCTGCATGTGTTGCGAGCCACTGAAGAGCTCTCCAGATGCGGTCTACCTAAGTCTCTGTCGTCATCAGTTCCATCTCGATTGTTTGAGGAAGTTGTTTCTGAGGCGGTTCCCACACGTCTGCCCTTACTGCAAACACATATATGCTACTGATTACAGAAACCTGGATGAAGGACTGCTACATACAGAAGTTTACAAAAATGAAATTCGAATGAGTTTTGAAGTCAAAGAATACAAGTGTGTAATTACATTTGAGAATGATGAAGACACCGAAACTCTGGCGGGCCTTTTAATGAAGGCCTTTCAAAGACAATTATTGACAAAATCCGTCCTGGAAACCTTTATCAACTCTCATCCAGATGAGCAAATTGACGTCATTAAAACCACATTGAAAGATAAAAACGTCGTAGAAAACAAGGTCAACGAAAACTTGGATGATTACGACCACCAGAAAGATGAAGACGAGAAGAGAAACATCAGTCTTGATGCCGATAACATAGAACTGACTGAAGATCAGTGGTTCGGCGAAGATTGGTGTGATGCAGTTGAAGCTGGAACTCCACAAGGCCAAGAAGGCAATGCAATTGAAGTTATAATTTCACAACGCCAGAACGATGCCAACAACATTGACTTTGACCTCTTCGAACCTATTGACCCTTTGCCGGAATGGATTGTATCGACCCATTATAATGGATGGGATATATGATTGACGCTACATGCATATCAGGAGCGCGATATGAGCGAGGCATTACTATTAATCGTCATTAGCATATAACTTTTCTTTTGGCACCCCTGCGTTGTTTGTATTTTAAATATATTTTGTCTGAATATCTGTCTGTCTGTTTGTCGTTCTGTGTTAACTCTTCGGGAATGCGTTTACTTCGACTGAGTTTTCAAACTAGCTATAACATCTTAATAAAGTTTACTAAAATAAAGTGAATGATCGAACGAATGAATATAATGAATGAATAACCGCTTTAAAAATGGTTCAAGTTAAATGACGTCATACGCGATTACGGAAAATTTTGAAGAATCTTCTTATCACTAGCATCGTGTGTAGTAGGCTACTTATAATTTAAAAGAATACGATGATGACGTAAGCGATAAAAATGATGATAATGATTATGATTGCAAGATATATAGCGTTGTAGAGATTTGTATGATATATTTAGTTAGATCATTGATTGGCTAGCTGTTTGAAAGGTCGTTTTATATATTGCCTTTGTCGTTGATAAGTAAGTTTAATTAATTTGAATTTGAATTGCTAACTGATTGTTATGGGTTTTTCCGATTGACTCGTCGTAAATTTTAAGTAGAAAGATGGCGTGTGAACGTGTCGGTTGCAGACGTTCAGCGCGGCATTTCGCAGGTGAATTCTGAATTCTTAAACAGAAATAAACGAAATGAAAAAAAAATCGAATACCGAATTTAAAGAAATTTTTTATATTTTGCCTGAATGGTAAAGTCAATAATAAATAAATCCTTATTTAGAAATATAAAATATAATAATAACAATAATTTTAGTTAATTAATTAATATTTATTAAAATCAATTATAGTTATAGCTAAGACTATTATATTGAGCCTTACTTGGCAAGGCTCCAAAGGATTAATGATTCAACTTTTTTTTCTGAGACTTTTCTTTTTTTTAAACTGCTAATAATCTAGACAAAAAATTGTAATTTCTTATCAAGAATAGAAATGGTGGTAGTAGTAGTAATAGTAGTAGTAGTAGCGGTAGTAGTCGTAGCGGTAGTAGTCGTAGTAGTAGCAACAGCTGCTGAGGCAGTAGTAGTAGTTTTAGTAGTAGTGGTAATAGGTATTGTCAGATATGATTCTATTTATTTTACTTATACAAACTCATGACAAAAAGTTTAACGTTTAACCACCACAGAAACACAAAACAACGTACAAATGCATATTTGTAGACAAAATTTAACATTTGTGATCATTTCATTCTTTCATTTCATCTTACAGTTAAGGCTATCGCTTGCAGTTGAACCAGGTCTCTTGCAAACTGATCTCATTTTTCTGGGTTTTTTTTACCTTTTTTTTATTCATTTATTTGTAAATAGTTATAATGGGCATTCACATTAAAAGGTGCATTGAAATATTTTATTTCTCAAACGTTGTCACATTCACATAGCACGAAACATTGGGAAATATTTGAAAGTTAAAATAAATTAAACTTGGCAAAGAAGCAACAACTTCTGAGAAGATTTCTTTCCAAATTCATTTGTGACTTTTACTTAATAAGAATTTCTGCTAGCAATGGAAACAGTAGTAGAAGCACCGGCAACTACAGTAGCAGCAGCAGTAGCAGCGGTAGCTGTAGCAGCAGCAGCAGTAGTTGTTACTATAGTTATACTGTCAGATCCTAATTCATATAATACATACACATAGCCAACCAGCATGCATCTATATGTACGTGTCAATTTAACACACACACACGTACACACATACACACACAAACATACTCACACACACAAATACATTCGTTTAAAAAATGCTTTGTATAAACACGTTTATTAATGTGGAAAATATTTCCATTGAATATCTCTGCTAAGCTAGCTTTATCTGGCCATATGGTAATAGTAATTACTCTTATGAATACATAATTGCGTTAAGCGTTAACCGTTTATGCAATTATAATAATTATTTATTATTTACTTATTATTATTTATTTATTATTATTGTTATTATCATTATTATCATAATAATTTTTTGAAATTATTTTGGAATTGGTATCAAATTACTGAGAGAGCTTGAGTTTTTAATTGAGTTTTTTGCGCGGTTAATGTTACCTTTCGACTATTGTTACTTTCATTATTATTATTATTATTATTATTATTATTATTATTATTATTATTATTATTATTATTATTATTATTATTTGCATGCATTCGTCTAATAATAATAATAATAATAATAATAATAACAATATATAAAATGATATTATAAATAGTAGTAAAAATAATAAATTTTATATACTGTCCCTGGACAAAGTGTCTCTTTTTAATCTATATGACCGCATTTTGACGACATTTTGACCAATGTACTTTCAAAATTTATATGTATATATCTCTATCTCTATCTTCTTCTCTCTTTCTCTTTCTTTGCTTTATCGTTTTCTCTCTCTCTCTCTCTCTCTCTCTCTCTCTCTCTCTCTCTCTCTCTCTCTCTCTCTCTCTCTCTCTCTATTTATATATATATATGTTTGTCCTGTGTGTGTAGGTATTGACACATTCATTGAATTCTACAGATATTGGTATTTGAGTTGTCATCGTATATTCATCATTTTATCTTTGTAAACTTGTTTAGCGTGTTTGTGTGCGTGTATGCGTCTGTGTGTGTGTGAGAGAATGTGTGTGGGAGTGTGTGTGTGTGTGTGTGTGTGGGAGTGTGTGTGTGTGTGTGTGTGTGTGTGTGTGTGTGTGTGTGTGTGTGTGTGTGTGTGTGTGTATGTACGTGTTTATAGAAAGTACTTTCAAGTTTATCATTTTATTTAAATTTTTTCTATTATCTTCGTTCTGCTGATGTTTTTATTGCCCGCCTGCTATTGTTTTGTTAGATGGAGTATGTTTAGCACTTGTGTGCGTGCACTTTATAGGCGTGTGTATGTGTACGTACGTACGTGTGCGTGCGTGTGTGTGTGTGCGTGTGTATGTGTACGTACGTGTGCGTGTGTGTGTGTCTGTAAACGTGTGTGTGATTTTATTTCTACTATTTAATTAAATATCACAACACAACTCGAATAAGCTGCGTATCCGTAAAGATTTTCGAACATATCTTGACCGAAATTTCTTTCTGCGAAATGATAAATGATACATAAACAAGACTTACTTAATTATTTAAAGTTATGTGCGAGTGTGAGTGTTTGTGTGTGTGTGTGTGAGTGTGTGTTGTTTGTAGTACGAATCTTCTAATGAGGAAAAAACTATGTTATTTATTTACCTTCCAAGAAATTCGAAAATTGCTGTGGAAATTGTACGTAAATTGTACAGTGCCAGCGTATACACACGTAGTACATGCAAGTACAAGTATACATTTGAATACTAATATAAGTAATTTATAATTTTTAGTAATGTTACTTGAAACAAATTCTACCAGGTACCTTGCGAGATTTCAAATCACTTAGATCTAACACCACAGAAAAGTTTCTACATCCTAATCCACCGTGTAAAGGTATTTCCTTACTTGATATGATGTGTGTTGTTGTTGTCTGTGTATGTGTGTATGTTTGTGTTTATGTGTGCTGTTTAAATATGGATGTGTGTTTGTGTGTGCTGCTTGAATATGGTTGTGTGTTTGTGTGTGCTGCTTGAATATGGTTGTGTGTATGTGTATGTGTGTGCTGTTTAAATATGGTTATGTGTATGTGTGTGCTGTTTAAATATGGCTGTGTGTATGTGTGTTTGTATGTGCTGTTTGAAAACGGTTGTGTGTATGTGTATTTGAGTTTATGTGTACTGTCTAATGAATGTGTGTATATGTGTTTGTCTGGGTTGCTAAAAATAATTTTCCGTTTTATTAGACCATCGTTACTATTGTTTTCAGATGTGTAATGGGCTAGGAATATGTGAGAAATGTCAAACAATCAGTCTGTCCATGAGAAACCATTTCAAACAATCATCATTTGCTAAATACCTGTCATGGTTCGTTGATTGATTTCGTGTAAAACACATACAAAAACTCACATGTAATTTCACATGTAACATCACGTGCACTTAGTGGCACGCACACACATACAAATAAATATAATAATTTGTTTGTGTGAGTGTATGTGTGCGTGACTGTATCTGTGTGCAAATGTGTGTGTGTGTGTGTGTGAATGTTTATGTACAAATATATGCACGCCACTTATAATAATTTTCTATCTCTGTATCAGTAAAATATTTTTATTTAAAATTGCTACCAAACTGAAAAAAAACTAAAAAATAAAATAAGCCATTAGGTATACAAGAGAGAGAGAGAGAGAGAGAGAGAGAGAGAGAGAGAGAGAGAGAGAGAGAGAGAGAGAGAGAGAACAAAAGAAAAGAGAGAAAGAAAGAAAGAAAAATTTTAAGAAAAGAGGATGGAAAAATGAATGGGAGGATGATAGGGCGAGTAGCATTTCATCATTCCATTCATACAACCGAACCGAATATTATAATTGGTTTTACTTTTTCCGCCGGCATATCGAGTTACAGTTGGAAGAAAAGTGGACTACATACGTACATCACACACCCACACACACACGCAGACACACAACACACACACAGATACACACAGACACACACACACACATACAGATTTATGCATTTATGTGCGTGCAAATTGGCAGAGCGTCAGATGATATTCAGTTATTGTAAGCATAAAATGGTTTTATTTGATTCGTATTGTTTGTACTAGACGGGTATTATAGACAGATTTTTGTTACTGATAAATAAATAAAATTAGTGAATAAAATTGAAATATACCTGATATTGTTAAATCGAAACATCGTGTGTCATCATTAATTTTAAATAGTTCAGATGGTGATGATGGTGAGGATGATTGTTAGTGGTGATGCTGACGACGATGACAGCTAAGATGAAAATGACGTCATCGTACGTTGATAATGATGGTTATGATGATGCTGGTGATGACGTTAATAGCAATGATGTGAATAATGTTTATGTGATCATCATCAAATATTTGCTTTTATTTTTCATCCATCAGAATTTATCTTCCTAATCATCATCTTCTTCTCTCCCTCTCCATCATTTTCTTCATCAACCGTCTGTCTCATTATTTTATAGCACGGTTACTCACACACGCACGCACACTTATTTATATATACACATACACACATACATTTGTACGTTTGTGTGTACACACGCACACACACACACACACAAATATATATATATATATATATATATATATATATACATACATAAATACATACATACATACATACATACATACATACATACATACATACATACATACATACATACATACATACATACATACAACTCTTAGTTGTTGAGCATTATATAAGTAGTTTTATCAGTAGTCAGCCACTTGCACATTTTGTCCTTTTTACCATTTCTCCCGCTGGTTCGATTACTCATTCAGGTTTCCCAAAGGTCATCTGTAAAGAATTTTGAAGAGTTTCTTGTGAGTTTTTCCATTGTTTATTTGATTTCTAAGTTTCTTTCATAATTTATTTGATTTTACTGTTTGTCACTTTTCTGTTTGTCTTGTTTATATCTTATTTTCATTTTGATTTTATTTCATCAAACAATGTTTTTTATTTAAATAATTTCTGATATGAGTCCAAGCATTCTGCATTTTAAAGCAGACAAATTAATGTATCTGAGATTTATTTTGAAAAGTCAATGGACATATTAAAAATTGATTAACTTAAAAAGAGAAATATTTTTAAAACTGATGATTTTTTTTTTCTTCATCTTTATGTTATATTTTTTTCATGAATTTTTCACTCATAATTTTAAACATAATTTCATTTTCATTTTTAACGACATTTTTTCTGGGATCTGTCTGATTTGTGTAGCTAAAATTAAAGTGTCATATCATCAGTTAAAGTTAGAGGAACATATTATTTGCTATTGAACTCTTTATTTAAACTATTAAACTTTATTTAAACTTATTTATTTATTTATTATTTAAACTTTATTTAAACTATTACGTTTAAAAGTTCTTATAGTAATTCAATTAAAACAATATTTACAATCATTTGGGATGTTTATGATGTTTAAATGTACGTAACTAAACAAACATGGTGACGTTTAGTTAAATATTCATGTAAATTTTAATCAGTTGTTCCTTATTCTAGAAAAAGTTATATTATTATCAACTAAAGCACTTGAAACAATTATCATCTCTATACTATACCGTTATATATATATATGTGTGTGTGTGTGTGTGTGTGTGTGTGTGTGTGTGTGTGTGTGTGTGTGTGTGTGGTTAATTTGAATTTTGGTGTATGTGATCATAGTTTAACTTTGCGTGCGTGTGCGTGCATGTGCGTATGTGTGAACATTAACTAATCACACACATGCATATTTATATACATGATATCATATAGCACGATACGTACAGTCAGTAGTTGTATGTATTTGTAGTTGAATACTTTAATATTTTTGCAGAGTGGTTTTTGAAATAACTTATTAGAACGATCAAAGTTAACAGTTCAAAATGTTTTCGTCTCAATTACAGCACACGCACACACACACATACATATGTACGTACGTTCGTTTATCTTGATATGCACGTACATTCAATCACCTACGCTTATACAAACACGCAACATGAACGTATGTGCATTGTACATACAATTGTTCAACAATCTCTTTATCACTTAACTAAGAGACGATGATGAAGATGACGATGGTGTAAACTATGATGATGATGAAGAAAACGACGATGATGATGAACGTAATGATAGTGACTAAATGATGATGAAGACGATATAAATGAGATTGAAAATTATGATGTCAGCTGTTTTGTGATGTCTTTCTGAGTAAGATTTAAAAAAATTTGCTAAAGACATACACAGCACATGTGAATACAACTTAACTCAGAAACATTGCACGTGAGAGATGGGCATCTCTGTGCTTTTGAACCCGGTTACTGCAACAGCAGGACCAAGCGTCTTAACCATCACGCCAGCCAATATCCGCACAGACGTGCAAACACACACATGACCACTGTCCAGCATACATACATACGCACATACATTTGAACCGCCCAAGTCAATTAATTACCATTATTCATATCGGCGTTTGTCGCCACGTGATTTTAAACATGGAGAATTTAATTTGCATAAGAGCGCTTAACTCATATGTAAAGAGAAAATAAAAATCGGGTATACAATGTATCGTACATGCATACTATAATGCAACTTAAGTACACATTCGATTTGACTAGCTATGTATAAGTGTATTGTACATACGTATTTATTAACATTTTCGTTATGTAAAAATTAGGTCATCAATTTTGAAGAACTAGTAAACACTTGAAAGGTTTCTCTCTCTACATTTTGAATTTAGAACAATGCATTTATTCTTTGGCAAAGTTGAAATAATGTCTACATAGGCTAGCCTAAATCCGGGTTAGTTTGCACCTGAAATCGATTTAAGCGATTAAGATGGTGTAATTGTCAAGATGCCTGGCACTGACGTTACTCTGACCATGTTCGACTGCAAACAGATCTCCACCTTTCACACGCAATGTGTGTGACGCCTTGATCTACGTGTATTTATATTTATAAAAAGAAAATAAAAGAGAAAAAAGTCAATAGAAACATGATAAGAAGTGAAAGCCAGCCAGGCTGTATAAGAAGATCACTTGAAATTTTGATTCGTGATCATACAAGCCGGTCCTCTTCAGCTATTCAAATCTAGGAATTAATTAGTTGGCGAGCTTGTTGGCGATTGTTGCTGATGAAGTTGCTGCTTTTGTTGAGTTGCTGTTGGTGGTGATGATGATGTTGGTGATGATGACGTTGATGATGATGACGGTGATGATGATGACGGTGATGATAATGGTGATGAGGCGTGTGTGGGCCGCTGCTGGCCAGGCAGGCGGTAAAGTGAATAGGTAGGGAAAAAGAAAAAAAGATTAAGAGAGAGAGAGAGAGAGAGAGAGACAAAAAATGGGAGTAGGAGAGGAAAGAAATTGAAGTGTTTAGACATATAGGCCGGTTAAATACTCGCCAACCAAGCTTCTAACCTAAACCATTCAATTAATAGCCTTCCTATAAACCGATGTGTTGTTGATTATGAATAAACATTGAAAATGAAATGAATGTTGATTATGAATAAACTTTGAAAATGAAATGAATGAAAATGAAACGAATAAATAAATAAATAAATATTAAGAGAATGGGAATAGAAAGACAGTAAGAAAGAGAGAGAGAGAGAGAGAGAGAGAGAGAGAGAGAGAGAGAGAGAGAGAGAGAGAGAGGTGGGTTAAATAGGTGAGTAAACGAAGGTTTGTACTTTTGACATTCACTGAATAATAACTTCACTTAAGTCCCACAGAATATTAACTAACTCGCTCTTGACGCGATACTTAGAATTTTTTCATATTACTTGGTGAGTGAGAACGCAAACGTATGTCGCTGTAGGCAAACATATTTATAATTTTAGAAATACATACGCGCACACATACAAAAAACTTACAAACAAACATACACACATACAAACATACATACAAACAAACAAACATACAACAAATAGACAATTACATTTAATAATATGGGTAGCTTGTTGGGGCGAAGATTGGATTTCAATTGGAAATTTCAGAAAATGAGTGGACCATAATTCTTATTTTAAGTGTATTTGGCTCTGAGTTTTTATATGCATGTGTGTGAGTGTATGTTTGTTTGTTTGTCTGTTTGTTTGTTTGTCTGTTTGTTTGTTTGTCTGTTTGTTTTTTTGTATCTATACATGCATAATATCCTGTTGCAGATAGATTTATCAATTCAAACTTTTGAACAAGCCCTTAGTTTTTGATAAAATAAGTCATCAATACATATTACATATACATACATATAAACACACACACACACACACACACACACACACACACACACACACACACACATACTTGCATGATTGGACATTATTTAGTGTGCGTGTGCATGTAATTATGATGTTAGTAGCAGCGTTTTTAATTGGACTGGCGTGTAAATATTATTATTATTATTATATTATTATTTATTATTATTATTATTATATTTAATTAGCGTTTCTACAATTATTATTATTGATAGATCAATGAAAATGCTGGTTGATGCTAATTCACTGATAAACTTTAATACGCTAAATTTGTGCAGTTTGGCGTCTGTATGTCTGTGTGTTTGTATATGTGTGTGTGTGTGTATGTGTATAAATATGCGTGTGTGCGTTTGCTTGCGTGCGTGCGTGCGTGTGTATGTTTGTGTGTGGTGAGTATGTGGTGTGTGTAAATTTTTGAGAGCTCCAAAATAAAAATTCAAAGAGCAGATAAACGACATTAAATCATGCAAATACTTTAAGTAGATATATTTATAGGTAAAACTTTTTAGACAATAAATTTTTCAGATAAAATCTATAAAAAAACTTTTTGATCGATTTTGACCTTTAACCTTTTTTTAACCATTATCAGCAGACCACATATTATCTCTTCAATGTTTTATCTAAACCGTTTTCCGTGCGGAGGGGCATTTATGGATTATTATTTTGGGCGATTTCATAAATCATTTCTAAAAAATTTCGTAATAATTCTCGCTAAAAAAAAGAATATACTGCGAAAATTATTATAAAAATTGGTCGTTATCTGATTTTAATATTTGCTTTGGTTTCAATTATTAATTGCTATGTTATGAATGTTATAATGACTCTTAGAAAATCAAACTTCAGTAATTTGCATTCTAAGTTAAACATTTAGTAGAAAATTTCATACTTTTCCAAAAAAAAATTCAATAGGATTCAGACGAAACAATTGAATATTTATCTCATTGGTCAAATAGTTCAACAGTTCCACCATTCAATCTTTCCGATTAATTCATTTTATTACCACAAAATGATTTCAAGTAATTATAATCTAATTACAATAAATCAAGTTCAAGTTAAGCAATTCTAATTTATATATAACAGGCATGATTGGATTATGCATATCCAGAGGCTTTAAACAATTGGTCACACTCATAGGTCTGATCCGGAAAAATTTTTTCTCTAATATTTTTACCATTTTTAGGCTGGCGGTTTTTTCATATCTGCCTTCTGGAATTTTATTTTTAGATCTTTACATAGGTAGAAACGTGTTATTTGTAATTTAATTATTCAATTAGTATTATATTTTAATTTTTGAATCAATTCAAATTCAATTTTATATTTTGGAATTGTAAATTTGTTGCTAAATCAACAGAAGATAACGTATTTGGACGGTTTGATTGATCAAATAAAAAGTTTAACTTTAGCAATTTTTTTGGCAAAATATGTTTAACCAGTTCGTTAAATGTGTGTTTAAATTGCAAATTTTTATAGTCTCTAATTGATTTATATATCCACTAGTGGTCTGATTTTACTTTGGCATTTCATATTTCAAAAATGTCAACAAAATTGATTTTGATGGAACTTTTCAATTTTTAAATTGTAAAAAAAACGGTAATTCAATCAAAATATTTTTTACGAATTCTCAAAATTATTAAAATTCACATACATTAAGATCAATAGCGCTAGTGAAAGCTTTAAAATATGAAACAAGTTAACTAAAAAGTATAGGTAATCCAATAATATTAACATGGTTGATGAACTTAGTATTTTATACTATCGATCAATCAATCAATCAATCGATCGATCAATCAAATCAAATCTGTATAATTTCTAACTTACAAATAATTTTTTTTTATTTTTCGATATCATTAGAGTTGCTTGTACATGCACGTACATATGGATCGCCCATATAGCAAGACTGTGTGACAATGCAAATCGTTATATATTCTATATCTAATCTTTTTGATAAAAACTTGACACACATAGATACACACATACACGTACGCACACACACACGTACGCACACATACACGTATACACAAACACACGCACATATATCAATATTTGTATGTCTGTAAGTCGTCAATGTTTGATACAATACACACACGATGGTTACATAAATTTGTTTGCCATGCAGTATAGCATATATAACTCATTTATTATAAACTGATTTACAAAATTATCATTCTTCACTTATATCAAATAGCGTTTTTGACAAACAATATGCTGTAAATAAGATATGCAATCATGTATGCGTGTCGGATGACATAGTACAGGGGTTGGCAAACTTTTTGTTGTGGGGGCCACATTGAAAACTATTTTACCTTTGAAGGGCCGCATATGTACTTGAATAGTAAATTTTTTCAACTTTTTTTTGGCAAACAAGGCCGCATAAAATAGCTTCGCGGGCCACGTGCGGCCGTAGTTTGCCCAACCCTGATGATATAGTATCATTAATAAATGTTTGCGTATGGATGGATAGATGATACAGTATCAGTAATGTTTGTTTGTATGTATGGATCGCTAATGTTTGTGTGTATGGATGATATAGTATCAGTAATGTCTGCGTGCATAGATTATATAGTATCAGTAATGTTTGTATCTATTGATGATATAATATCAGCAGTAACACGTTCATTCAATCATTCATTGGAATATTTTTCTGTTTGGTTTTGTGGTGACACCGCCTAAAATAATGATTTCAAATTAATATCTCTGCACTTTTGGTACTATTTAGTTAAAAAAATTAGCATTTAATTTATTTTTTCTCATTTTAAATCAAAAAACGCATTTCGAAAATTTAATTTTGACGTAGCTTTTTTGGCCCATGCCTCTTATTACTACCGTCATAATAATTCATTTGTTGATAATTCTACTGCCTCTGTCAATACTGTTTCAGATATCATTAATTTTGATACATTTAGTATTTATACTACTTAAATATTACTTAAATATTACTAAATTGCTAGCACTTTTAATGGTGTTGTTGGTTATATAATGATCATTGTTAGTGTCATAACTATTTATGTTGTTTAGTTATTTTTATTGTTCATATATTTATTTTTCAGAGTTATTATCATTTAATCATCATAAAATTGATAACGTGATAAGGAAAGCCGATAAGCTCGCAATTAACCAACAGTTTAAAACTATTATTTTTCATTTTAAAAGATAATGGACCTTGATAAAACAAAATTGTTTTATTCAATTAGAAATACTATTTTTAATTCGATCTTTTTAAAACCAAAAACCACCACAGCTGTTACACAGGCACCAAAACTTTTGAAACCAGAAAAATGAGTGAAGAACGAGTTATCACTTCAAGCACTCGCCGCGTCTACACCACAAACTCCGATGGCGCAAGTCTGTCGGGTGGTGCTGCCGGTGGCGAGAGCCTCAACATCAGCTACGGCAGTGGCGGTGGAGCGACACTCGTCTCCAACTACCGGCCAACTGTGGCCGCAAGAAGCGTCATCATTCAGAGGTCAGTCGGTGGAAGTTTGGGCGGTTCCGCCGGTGGCAGCAGTATCAAGAGGTCGTATCATTACAACACCGGGTCCTCGATGGGAATCGTCCCAAGTTATGCTCCCCTGGTTAACACGGGAGTGACCAGCGTGAAAAACAGCCGTGAGAAGGAGAAGAAGGATATGCAGGATTTGAACGAGAGGTTCGCCAGCTACATCGAGAAGGTCGGTGGCATCATTTTATGGTCTCATATCTCAGCAGCTGTATGATGCGTTGTGTTGTGTTACGTGTTGAAAGCTTTCTGTATTGTGTTATTGCCTTTTGCTGTCCGTGAAACGTTATAAATTATACGGCATAAATAACAAATATATGTTGGTCATTTATTCTAAACTAAAGGTGCGTTTCTTAGAGGCCCAGAACAAAAGGTTGAGCGAGGAGTTGGAGAAGTTGAAACAGAAGTGGGGTAAGGAAACGACCCAGATAAAGGTCATGTTCCAGGCCGAACTCGATCAAGCCAGGAAGGTTTTGGATGACGCGGAGAAGGAGAAGGCAAGATTGGAAATCAAAGTGGCCTCTCTCGAGGAAGTTAATCAGGAGCTGGTCACCAAGTTGGTTCACGTTTGTTGTTCGTTCGTGTTGCGGGTTATGGTAATGGTGGTAGTTGGTGTTCGTTTGTTTGTTTGTTGTTTCCATGAAATTTGGTTGTTGTTGTTGGTGGTGTTGTTCTTTTATTTCATTTGCGGGTGAATAAGAGGTATGGTATAGTAGTATCAATACAACATCTCTATCAACTAAACCCGTTTTGAGTGAGTACATCGCCGGCTACAAAAAATTTCTAGTCATATAAATTGTATTCAGAGTGAAAGTCAAACTTTCTCAAAGGTTCAGTACATGGAAATGTAATAACAAACGAACGAACGAACTTACGCGAGCACAAACATAAATATTTATGACGAACTGCACTCATGCAGTCAGTTCACAAAAGAAGTTTCACAAGAATTAGTTGACGGTATGATGATGGTGAGGATCTTAATATTCCTGGTGATGGTTTTGTGGTAGCTAATAAGATTGTCTTCATCTAAGTAGTGATCACACAATCTTTGATTTAATGGATGCTATTGATGTATCTAACTATATCATTGTTGTCACTGTTATTGATGTGTTTTTGCTTAACATTTTCAGAAAAAAATCTCTGCTGATGTTGTACTAACATCATAAAAAGGATTTGCATATGTACTAATACAATACAACTATTCAGTCAGTCATATCATGTCTTATATAACGCTGACTGGCTTGTGGGACACACCCATACAGATGCTAAAATGTATGAAATGTTTACACTAGCTCATCCATACACGCGTGCACGCACACGCTAATGTAAACACATTCCTCAAGCACAAAATCACGTGAAAATGATTTCATTGATTCGAAAATTGAACTAAATTAGCAATTATTATTTGATTATCAATTCGTTAAAAGTTAATTTAAACATAATAATGAAGTTCACTTCAATTATTCCGGTACAATACCCCCCTCAAATTAAAAACACCCGTGTATAGAAAATTACACAGACATACGCACGCGCACACACGCACGCGCACACACACACATACACGGGGAATGTATTCGTTAAGTCTGAATTGTGAAAATAAGAACACAACGATGACGAAGAAGAACAAAAAACTATGTCAACCAATCAGGTCCCTATCTCAGGATTTTCCACGTAAATGTGTGCATGTGTGTGTGTGTGTGTGTTGTGTGTGTATGTATCATATAGCAAATAAATAATATAATAATATAATATATGATAATATAGTACAATAAACCATGTGTGTGTGTGTGTGTGTTTGTGTGTGTGTTGTGTGTGTGTGTGTGTTTGTGTGTGTTGTATCATATAGAAGAAATAAGCCAAACTTCTTCTGCCATAATACTGGATTGAGGTCTATATTATTTTCATCAGTGTCGTCATCATAGTCATTTGTCATCATCATTATCATCGTCGTCGTCATCATCATCATCATTGAGTTGGTCGGTAGGTTTATGATGGTTTGGAAACAATTCAAGACCAAAGTTGATGAAGCTGACTTTTGTTCTTTTTTCCATTCCTCCATTCGTCTTTCAATTTCTTTCTTTTCGTCATTCACTGCGTTATGACTCACTCACTCACTCATTCACTCACTCACTCACTCACTAACTCACTCAAACACTCACTCACTTACTCACATACACTCACTCACATTAACGTATTTTATTATTCTGTTAGCGTCATTAAATTGAATGGGTCCAAAAATCGAGTTGTGCTTGCCTGCTACCTAGCTAGCTATAGGAGCAGCTCTGTTTCGCAAGTTAGTATTGATGATTTGAAGATTTCATAGCTAATTGAGAAAACCATTTGTAAAAAAAAGACTGAAAGAGAGAAAAACAGAGAAGAACATTGAAAGGGAAGAGAGAGAGAGAGAGAGAGAGAGAAAGAAAGAGAGATAAAACATGGAAGAAGATTTTGTGAATGAGACAGTTGCAGAGGGAAAAAGTGTAAAAGAGAGAGAGAGAGAACAAAAGAAAGTGTAAGTAAAAGGCGAAATAATGAAATAGAGAGTGTATATGTGGAAAAGAGAAAATGATTGAATGAGTGAGTGTGTGAAAAATTGAGAGAATGAATGAGTGGGGTGGGGTGGAATTTTAATAATTCATTTGTTTCATTTAATTTATTTCAATTCTAATTTTTTCGAACTCGTTCGTGCTTGCGTCTGTTTATTCAACTGACACAAACGAATTGAATGAATGAATGAATGAATGAATGAATGATGAAAAAAGACAGAAAAAAAGAACGAAAGAACGAATAAATAAATGAATGGAAAATGAATGAATGAATGGTGTTATGACTTATGTGTGCGAACTGATAATTTAAACAAATAATTAAAAGAAAAAATTAATGGAGGAATTAGTGGATGAACAGATGAACATTTGAATTAAATTACGATGAATGAATGCATGGATGAATGAAGGCATGAATGAACGAACGAATGAATGAAAAACCATTTACTACTAGCTTATTTAGCCCATCATATTTTAAGCAATATTAAAAACATCAATCAAAAACATTCAATCATAATAAAACTAGACATAAACAAAGACAGTAACGCAGCAAACAAATCACCATGAAACAATATACAAAACAAACCGACATACATTACCAAACAATAAACATACACACCACCACACAACACAACACAGTACCAAAACATTAACGTCCTATCAAAATGTCTTGATTAACGATAAACACATAATGTGTTTATGCTGGCTTACTTAAACAGCTGAAAATATAAACATTAAACATACACTCAAACAACTCACACAGACATACATACACCACGCATAGGCGTACATACATCCATTTACACACGTACATATATACATACATACACGCACACATACATACATTCATAGACACACATACATTTGCACACACACGCACACGCACAACATGTGTTTAAATTTGAAAAAGAAAGTTATTTAGGATGGCTGTTCCACTACACAAATATATATTGTGTATATATATATATATATATATACATATATTGTGTATATATATATATATATATGTGTGTGTATACAAACACATGTACACCCGCTAAATGTTATAAATAATAATTCGAGTTTATACTAATATTTCAAATGATATAAGCATGACGATGACGAATATGAAGATGATGATGATGAAGAAGAAGAAGAAGATGATGATGATGATGTAGATGATGATGATGATGATGAAATGAAACGATCCGACTTGAGATAAATAAAAGCTGGTAGGTAGTGACTAACGATGACTAACGGGATAAGGATGGTGACGACGACGATGAGGACACCGAAACTTAAGATGATGATAATGATAATGATGACGTAATGATGATGATGATGATGTTGATGATGATGATGATTATTATGATAATGGTGTTGTTGATGATTCAGTGAGACAGACAAAAGAAATTGTAAGAAGGCTAGCTGTTGTCTGTGTGCGTGTGTGTTTGTGTGTGTGCGTGTGTTTGTGTGTGCGTGTGTCTGCGTGTGTTTGGTCTGAACGAATAACTATTACATAAGTCATGATGACGGTGATGACGATCTTGGTATCTATGTTTCTTTATTCTATATTTTCACGTTTTCGATGCTGGTAATGACGATGATGATGATGATGTTGTTACAATGATGATGATGATGATGATGATGCTGATGATGATGATGACGATGTTTACGATGAAAATTGAGAAAAACTAATAATTACATCCATTGACTAAGCGGATGTCACTTCAGAGAGCAGATCAGACTGGTTGGTTCTCATTAACGGCTAAAAACTTGCGAAAAATAATAATTAAAATAATAATAATAACAACAACAACAACAATAATAATAATAATAACATTTGTAATAATGTGGGCATCGTTGACAAGTTTGTAAATAACCACATCAAAACATCTTCTACTTAAAGACAACTACATTAACACATACACAATAACAACAACAACAACAATAATAATAACAAAATAATACTAATCATAATAATATTTATTATAACATTAATCATAATAAAAACTGTCTGTCAAATCGCATTGGCGGAACTGCGTCCTTTCTAAATAAGTTTTCGACATGATGACGATCTTGGATATATGTACACTACATACACGTACACACACGTAAACACACATGCACACATACATAGGTACACACACGTACGTACACACACACACGCGTCGAAAATATATTTATAGGCGGTTTCTTACAAAAACGGCATTTAATCAACGACGTCATCTACCACGCACGCACACACACGCACGCACGCACACACACACAAACAAAAGCACACAAACAAAAGCACACAAACACATCTGCTAAATATCTCACTCTACGTCTTAAAAAATTTCATGACTCACGTGATTATCACGTGATTAATATCGCAAAAATGTAAAATAAAATGAAGAAGACGATGAAGATGGGAAAGAAAGAACAGATGAATATTATAGATAACGATCGTAATGGCTATGATGGAGATGATAAACCTGTGGAAAAGAATTTAAAAGACAAACAAACTTGCCTGTAGTTATCTTGATCGTTATGACGAAGACGACGACGATGATGACAAACGTGATGATTTGATAATGATAAAAATGATGTAATAATATGATGACGACGATGATGATTAGGGGATTGATGTGATGACTGTGACCTTCCAGAATAATGATGATAGATTACTGTTTTAATGTTAATAATGAGTGAAAAATTTTGTTTGATGTGAATCGAGTTATTTAACTTTTTACTCCAAAGGCATTTATTATGTTGAAAAATAAATTTATAAATGGTTTCAAAGAAAGAAGCATTTTGTTATAGCAGCTTTAGTTTTATTACTAATTTATTCACTCAGTTATTCTGTTATTTCTACATCCACACTTTCATTTGTGTTTTTTTTTATGTTTGGCGTGATTTTTCACTGTTTTTGACTGATTTGCATGACGACGACTCTTATCAATAAAGCAATAATATACAGTATTAAAACTTTAGTAACCTCATACTGTTTTGTTAGAAGTAGAAACGTGATTTTTTCTGATTTTTACTGTAGAATTTTTCTAAAAAAAAATAAAATTTTCCTCTTCCAGGTTCAATGAGCTGAACCAAGTGAATGATGATCTGAGAGCTAAACTGGACAGACAGAACCAACAAATTGTTGATCACGAGGGTAAGTAGCGGCAGAAGTAGCCACAACGACAACATCAACAACAACGTCAAAATCAACGTCAACATTTGCAACAACAAAAACAACACAACGACACAAGCACACACAAAAACACACACACAAACATAAACATATATATATGTATATACATATATATTATACGAATTATCTTATGTAGGAATAATAAATATTGAATGTCATAAATATAATATACAATATTGATAGATGAATTTTGAAATGTTAAAATCAAAATTTCAGCCGAGATCAGTTTGTTGAGAAAGAGACTCGAGGTCCTAGAGGGTGACAAAGAGAGAGACAAGAAGACCATTGCCAATCTCAACGTTGCTCTCAACAATGCTAGAATTGTTAGCTCTTATACGAAATTTTTTTTTAATTTTTTCTGTTGCTAAAATGCCAGCTATTAAATTCAATATTTTCTGAAATAATTTCACAAAACTATTCAAATAATTATCTAATTCTCTTTCTCAGAATTTGGACGAAGAAACTTTGAAGCACATTGACGCTGAAAATAGAAGACAGACCTTGGAAGAGGAGTTGGAATTCTTGAAGGGAATACATGAGCAGGTCGGTTCCTCTAATTAATTACTCATGTTTTTTTTATATAAAAATTATTGAATTTACAACTGGAAACACTATATTTTAATTAAATAAAATCAATTTTATGTTATTTATCCAATTTAGAAATAATGAGAACGAAAAATTTCGAAATGTAGGAGTTGAAAGAGTTGGCGGCCCTTGCCTACCGCGATACAACGGCCGAGAACAGAGACTACTGGAAGAACGAGATGGGCAGTGCCCTGAGAGAGATCCAGGAGCTGTACGATGATAAGTTTGAGTTCATGAGGAGTGAGATTGAGTCTTCCTACGAATCTAAGGTTCGTACATAGCGATTTCATATTCGCAATCTTAAAAAAATTATTTTTTATTAATCAAAGTTAAAATTATTTTAAAAATCCTAGTTAATCATTTTTTGAGTTTCAAAATCACTACTTGAATTTTAAACAATTTCAAAGCGATGATTACGACGGGTTATTAACAAGAGAAAACGACATATCAAATCTTCATTTTGCTTTCTCCAGATGCAAGAATTCGTGAGAGGAGCCACCAAGAAGGACATGGAGACGACGCACAGCAGAGACGAAATCAAACGTCTCAGAATCCAAATTGCTGATTTCAGAGACAAGGCCACTGACCTTGAAGGAAAGGTCAGCTATTATAATTTTATGAATCGATTTCGTTTCAAGTCACTCAATAGTTTTAGTCAATTGAAAGTTAAAATGAAAGACAGGTGAATATAATAAAATGATCGAATATTTAATTTCGAAACTTTTCAGAACGCGCGCTTAATGAATGAGCTGGAGATCTTGAAACGGCAAAAGGACGAAATGGAGCGTGAATTTGGTCTAGAGAAGATGAAGTATGAGGAAGAGATAACAAGGGTGAGGGCGGAGATGGAGGCAATCATGAGAGAACTGCAGGCCATCATGGACTCCAAACTGGGACTCGAGTTGGAAATTGCTGCCTATAGAAAACTTCTGGAAGGGGAAGAATCAAGGTAGGTGGTTTAGTTATTTATTACATGGCTGTTTTAAAACGCAAAATTTGCTTTTTCTTATTTTATTTTGAAAATTTTTTGAACTTTTTTACTGATTTTAAACCGAGCTTAATATTTTGAAATTATTTTTACATGTATTGACAACACTTGAAAAACAAAATTCAAATAAAAGACATAAAGGACATTTAAATAAAATAATTCTCCAGAGTTGGCCTGAAGCAGCTGGTTGACATCTACGCCTACGGAGGTAGTGGTGAATCTTCAATGATGGGTGGTGGTGGTAGCAGCAGTGCCATCGCTAGCGGCTCGTCGTATTCATACAGTTAGTTGAAACGCCTTCATTAACGTGTGCCATTCATTTGGTTAATGATACCCATTATTTTGTACACTTGTCTTTTTTCTCTCTTTTGCCAAATATTTCATTTATAATTTTGAAAAATGACTTCTCTGTATGAATGAATTTGTCAATTTTTTTTGTGTTGTACTGCAGTGAATTCCTCGTTTAAAGACGAGTAACATTATCATTTTTCATTAATACATTATTAGAAAAGACGCTAGAAAAATTAAAATGAAAAGATGAGATGCAACTTTGATTGCCCTATCCAGGTGGTGGTGTGAAGCATGGAGAGATACAAGCCAAGACGACATTCCAGAGGAGCGCCAAAGGTCCGACGAACGTTGGTGAGATTGCCTCGGACGGTAGATACATCGTACTCGAGAACAACGGAAAGAAGGCGCGTCGTCGTCTTTTTATTTTCAAATTTGTATTTTTCAAAATTATTTTTCTCTTGGTTTGCCTGGGCGGCATGATGGCCTAATGGGAAAAAGCTTTTTGTCAAGATTTACAGTTGCTGGGTTCGATTTCCAAGATATCCCGCCTACTGTATATAATATGTATGGTATGTTACTCTGCGGGCGGCATGATGGCCTAATGGGAAAAAGCTTTTTGTCAAGATTTACAGTTACTGGGTTCGATTTCCAAGATATCCCGCCTACTGTATATAATATGTATGGTATGTTACTCTGCACGCATAGCGCATCCACGTACGCTGTCTGATGAATTGATTAATAATTAATAATATCATGATAATTAAAGGTTGAGAATTTGGGCGGCTATAGATTGGTGAGGAACACTGATGATGTCGAGACCTTGAACTTCGTCCTCCCCGATATTAAATTGCACCCCGGGGATAAAATCACGGTAAGTTACGCATTATTTATGATAATGAGGACAATATTAATATTCATGTATTATGATAATGAAGTGAAGATAGCATTAGCATTCATAAATTGCGATAAGAAAGATGATGACAGCATGCATGTGTGGACGCTAAAAACGAACAAAAGAATGAATGGGCTCTTAGATAAACTACTGAGTCAAGAAATGACAATTTTTTTCAGCGTTATGGGATGATCAACGTTACATTATATGACAAAACCTCACAATTTTAAATAAAATTTGTAAAATTTGAAAAATTTGAAAAAAATGAGCCAAAACTTTTTAGTTGTGGGCCAGAGGCAAGAAGCCGCCCAACGCGCCGTCCTCTGATATTGAAACTAACGATGATAACTTCGGTGTCGGTTCGAATGCCGTCACTAAACTATGCAATGCAATGATGGAGGTATGATTTTGTTTCATTCATTCATTCATTCATTCATTCATTCATTCATTCATTCATTCATTCGTTCGTTCGTTCGTTCATTCATTCACTCATTCATTCACTCATTCATTCACTCATTCATTCACTCATTCATTCACTCATTCATTCATTCGTTCATATATTTTCTTATTTATCATGCAATATTTAGTTGATATTAAAATTATTTTATTTTCCCGCCAATCAGGAAAGAGCCGTCCATGTCCAGAAAACAGTTTACGGATAGTTGGAAGGCCATCTAACGTCGATGACGTCATTAGACATACGTCACACACAAGCCATGGACAAAGAAATAAATAAACAACTTTTATACGTATCTTTCGTATTTTTGAAATAAAAAAAATGTTTTCATAACATTTAAATTCTGATAGCTTGTTTCACTGAGACTTTTTTCTACTCTTATAAGCTTTACTAATAATGAATATTAATCAGTTTTTACTTAGTATTAATTACTTATTGCTAAGTAAAAGTAATCAGGTATTACTAATTAGTAATTAATTATTTATTACTGATTATACTCTACCATGACTAATAGATGATATTATTAAGAGGTGAATATTTTTTCTTAAATTTGTGATTGTATTTCAGTTTTGGTGACACTTGAATGAATAAATAATACGTGCCTTGCTTTATTTTCATCTGACATCAATGCTTCTTCCATTGGAAATAGTTTATAGAATTGTCAGTTGTGTGTGTGTGCTTCATCTCCCTCTGATAACGATTGAGAACTTTTTTGAGAGTAAATAAACGTCTTGAAACAAGTTTCAAATTTGTGTTTGCTGAAATTACCTCACAAAAAAACTTTAAAATGTAATTAAACTTGAAACTTTCAAAAAATAATTTTTAGATGTAATTAAACTTAAAATTTCCTGAATTTATAAAACACAAATTGTTTGATTGCAAGAGGATGATAACGCATCGTAGACAGCAGGCGAGAATTCATTGCGTTCGAACCCGGCAACTGCGACACAACTGGGAGGGGAATATGGAAAGGAAACATTTTTTGACGTATCTGCTTTGTTTCTTTTATTTTCGGTGGCTTACTGAAACCGAAGGTTGGCTTACTAGGATTGAACTATAGTCGACCTTTTTTTACATTATTTGATCATGTTAAAAATTTGTTTGCTTAAGAAATAAACGGCCTAAATAGATCAAAATTGTTATTTGAACAAGTAGCTTTATATCTTTATTATATTCAATGAATATTTTGCATTCTGCTGGTGCTCATAGAAACTGGTTGCTGAAATCATACGTTGGCTTACTGCAGTGGCTTACTGGGTCTCATACAACTGTGTCATGGCGGTCTTCTGTACATATAATGCTTTAAATAAATCAATATATTCATATCGCAATTATTTTTGTCAATATAAATAAAGAACTTTCTTTTGTCTGGTGAAATACAGTGGCCTAGTAAAGCCGTATGTTGGATTTTTTTTCATATATACAATACTATGAGATTAATCAGTCAGTCAATCAGATAGTCAATCAGTCAGTCAGTCAGTCAGTCAGTCAGTCAGTCAGTCAGTCAGTCAGTCAGTCAGTCAGTCAGTCAGTCAGTCAGTCAGTCAGTCAGTCAGTCAGTCAGTCAGTCAGTCAGTCAGTCAGTCAGTCAGTCAGTCAGTCAGTCAGTCAGTCAGTCAGTCAGTCAGTCAGTCAGTCAGTCAGTCAGTCAGTCAGTCAGTCAGTCAGTCAGTCAGTCAGTCAGTCAGTCAGTCAGTCAGTCTGTCAGTCAGTCAGTCAACCAATCAATCAACCAACCAATCAATCAACTAATCAACTAACCAATCGACCAATCAATGAAGCAAACAAAGGAATGATATGTGATAAAAACGAAAAAAAATAAATATTTGCATGGCTTGTTCAAACCCAAACAAACACTTAACCGTACAGATCTACAAACAATTTTGAGATTTTAATAAAGAAAGAAAAACACAATAAATGCTTTTATTTGAATTCATTCAAAAATGGAAAGTGGCGGTTAATTAAAATTGTAAAAACGACAATTTTTAAAAAAATTAGAATTTTAAACAAACAAATATAACAAAATAACCATTATCCATTATTATTTATTATACACACTCCTTAGTAGTTCTCGGAGAATGATTCACGTAACATGAACATTTAGTAAGAACAGTTCACGTCATATCATAATGACTAAATCACCATACCAAACAGTAATTATTTATACATGCATATATACAAAGTAAATCAAGAAGCATCCAAAAATTATATAACCAAATTAAAAAAAATAGAAACCAGTCAACATTTTATAAATTAATAAATAAATAAATAGACATTATTAAAAAGATTGTTCAAAAAGGTAAAATTTAAGGCGACGACGAGAATAAAATGTAGTTTATTTTGTTGGTGTGGGGCTGTGAAGCGAAAACAAACACATCACAAAAAACTAGTAAAAAGTCGCAAGAATAGTAGTCAGTCACCTACCTACAATTAAATTACTCTCAGGGCCCTAGCTTACTTATAATCATTAACTCAACTCACCTACCTACAAATATGTATTTCTACGTTTTTGGAATTTTACATGTTTTAGGTATTTTATTTTACACATTTCAGCGTTTTTATTTTACTTGAAACTTTTTAACTAATGTTAAGCGCTAGCCTACCTACGATTGTCTAACTCATCTCAATCCCTAACTTACCTACGTAAACTTACCTATTAAATTAAGTCTGGTAAAGAAAATAGAAAGTTGAAGAGAAACATAACAACAACGACACCGAATGAATGGATGTTGTGTTGTGTGTGTTGTATTGATGTGTGTGTGTAAATGTGTGGGCGTGTACTCTCCAAAAACTTCTTCACTCACTACGGTCGAACCTCCATTGCACCGACCATCATCTGACACGCATCGATGGAATGAATTTGACCGGATACTCAATAACACTAAAATGAAAAAAAAATTAATTTTTTAAAATAAAAAACAAGTCATTGAAAAAAATAGACAACTTATTTTATTGAGATGACACTCAATCCTTCGTTCAAATTCAAGTACTTTCAATGGTACGATGGGACAAAAATAAATTTCCTTTTAATATTACCTTCAAATTGTCATCGGAACGATCATCATGAAATCACCATCTGAAACGTGCTGACGCCCAACACAGCCCACCTCTCATCATTCTGTAAAGAAGTCTTTTTTTAATTAGCGTGTTGCTGAATCAAGGAACAAAGGAACGAACGAATAAATGATAACTGAATGATTGAATGATTGGTTGAATGAATGAATTAACTAATTAATTAATCAATCAATGTTTTAATAAATGAATAGAATGAATCAATGAATCGATTAATGGAAGAATAGTGGGAGATAAAATAAATGAATGAATGAGAAAAATAAAAAAGAAACTAAACCATACTTCAAAAATCGTCTTTGTTGTTTTCTTCGAATTGTCATCGGAACGATCATGAGACCACCATCTGAAACGTGCTGACGCCCACCACAGCCCACCTCTTATATCATTCTAGACAAGTTTTTTTTATTGGCGTAGTAGTAAATCAAGGAACAAACAAACGAATAAATGGATAGAATGAATTAACGAATCAATTAATGGAAGAATAATTTGAAATATTGAATGATAAAACAAACGATTGAATGAATGAATGAGAGAAATAAAAAAACTAAAGCTTACTTCAAAAATCGTCGTTACTGTAATTCATTGCACCGACCATCACCATCTGGTCGGCACACAAGATGTCATTCGAACTTCAGAGTGTCAGTCGAACAGCCAACGAGCTGATTCTTCCTACACCACCATCATCAAATGTAAATCATCATGAGACCACCATCTGAAACATTCTGACGCCCACCACTGTCCACCTCTCATCATTCTGTAGACAAATTTTTTATTAGCGTAGTAGTAAATGAATGTTAGAATCATAGAAACAAAAAATTATAAGATGAAAATAATGGCAAATAAATAATATTTTAAAATAATAAAGAGAGTAAAATGTAAAAAAAACTTACCGTCGTCCATTCGACAAAGGCAGAATGTTGAATGCGGTCTGGTTCTACGTTGTCCTCCAAAACTGGTGCCAGTCCTCCTCGAGATTGTTGTTGAAACACAGCCCGTGTTGATGGAGAAAGATAAACAGAAGATTCTCATCAGAAAGCTTAGCGGTGCCTGCATCTCAAATTGCTTATTAAAAATAATCCTATCTACCTATTCAATTACCTTAGCTAATTTATATTAAATTATTAATGGTACGATAGTCGAAAGTCCCCCTTCATTCTCCCTCCTTGCACAGAGGCTCACCGACAGCCAGTGCACCGGATAATAAACCATTGCCGTGCGGATAGTAGACTATTACCGTGCGGATAGTAAACCATTTGCCGTCCGGAAGCCGTGCGGGTAGTAGACTATGGCCATGCCGCATAGTAAATCATTACCGTGCAGATAGTAAACCATTGCCGTCCGGATAGTAAACCATTGCCGGTTCACTACTGGCCACCAAGGCTTACCTCTGACAACAGACTTCGAAATTCAGAGTCTATCGGCTATCGTACCCTCAACTTACCTATTCATTACAATTAAGCCCTAGCTTACTTAAAAGTGCAAAACTCAAGAGCCCAATTCATTGGCCTTTCGGCACCCACCCCACCACCTACGTAATGCCTTGGGCTCCAACTTAGTAATAATAATATAAAACTTAAACCCTAAATCTATTAATGAGTATGTGTTACAACGTAGCCTTAACCTACCTATTCATTACATTACGGCCCTAGCTTACCTAAGATTACAAAACTCAAGAGCCCAATTCATTGGCCTTTCGGCACCCACCCCACCACCTACGTAATGCCTTGGGCTCCAACATAATAATAATATAAAACTTATTAACTTATCTATCGATACACTTACAGTGTTTTAATTTACATTACAAGATTGTTCCAAGAATTACATTATTGCTCTTAACTACCTATGAAATTAAATTACTCTCAACCTTAGTAATAATAAATTAGAATGTGTAATGAAAATAAAATTACGCTCAAATACTAACATATGTGTTTATGTATGTATTTGTGTGTGTGTGTGTGTGTGTAATACGCTGATGCGTGTAATGTTGGTGAAAGAAAAAAATAGGAGCGATAAACTTACGCGCCTGCCTATTCAACTACATTAGAGTTGGATGTTTCCTATCTATACTACCTACAATTAAAATTAAGCCTATCTAACCTACCTATATAGCTACTTAATGTAATTGTGTTTGTATGTGTGTGCGTGTATGCATTCTTACTTAATGTTAAATTACTGAGAAAAAAGAATAAAACGTATCCCAGCCAGGCGTGTATTCTTTGCCACTGAATGAACGAACGTAGCCTGACATCTTCCAAGATGAACTCCTCTGGAAGCTTCAACCTGAATAAAATGAAAAAACCTTATTTATTAAAATAATTTAAATGAAAATAGAGAAACGAGCCGCGGTGAAACCCGTCAACCAAAAAAAAGGAACCGCAAAGAAACCGTAAAACAAACCCCAGCCAGGCGTGCATTCTTTGCCACTGAATAAACGAACGTAGCGTGACATCACAACCATTCTGATCTTCCACGATGAACTCCTCTGGAAGCTTCAACCTGAATGAATAAACCTGAATCTTATTTAATTAATTTAAATGAAAATAGAAAAACGCAAAGAAGCCGACCGGTCGGCAAAGAAAAGAACGTCAAAGAAAGGTATCTATATAGGATTTATGCTCTATATAACTCTATATAACTCTATATAACTCTATATAACTCTATATAACTCTATATAACTCTATATAACTCTATATAACTCTATATAACTCTATATAACTCTATATAACTCTATATAACTCTATATAACTCTATATAACTCTATATAACTCTATATAACTCTATATAACTCTATATAACTCTATATAACTCTATATAACTCTATATAACTCTATATAACTCTATATAACTCTATATAACTCTATATAACTCTATATAACTCTATATAACTCTATATAACTCTATATATCTCTATATAACTCTATATAACTCTATATAACTCTATATAACTCTATATAACTCTATATAACCATGCATACTACCACATTCAATCAATAAAAATCCCACTAAAACCAGGAACCAGCGCGTACCTGTTATATGTATGGTGTGAAACAAAACAAAAAACACACCACCAAGTAGAGTAAAAGAATAGAAGTCCCTAACCTACCTATTTAACTAAATTACCTTATGCCCTAGCCTACCTATATAATAAATTAATTTTTAATCTCACCTACCTATGTTTCATTAACTTAACTTAAGACTCATGAAGAAAGAGAAAAAGGAGTAAAAAACATAAAATACTACCACACAAACAAACATGATGTATGTATGTATGTATGTATTAGCAACCGCTAAAGAACCCACCTAAAATATAAAAAATACAACGTACAAACCACAGACATGCAAATTCTATATAACTCTATATAACTCTATATAATATAACTCTATATAACTCTATATAATAAAATAAATAAAAATAAATAAATTATAAAAATAAAATAAATGAAATCAGACAGACTGCTTCAAGCGAGGCAGAATGCCTGATCTGATTTTCATGTTGTCTCAGCTCCTATGTATACTCCTTTTCAACCATACATTTTCATCATTTCAATCATTCACATCAGTAAAAAACTTAGTTAATGTATGTAGTACGCTATTATACAGTCTTAACCACAATGCTAACCGTACGTAATGCTAAATTGTCGTCATCGAACGAACGCCTTCGAAACTTTCTGATTGGCTGATTGAATCTGCTATATAGCTTTTTATAAAAACATATAATCTTATTAATTATTTGTGTATAGTTACTTTATATATATATATATATATCTATATATATATATATATATATATATATATATATTCATTATAAAAGCAACAGTAATCAGTGCTACATATGTAAGCCGTAGTTCAAATTTTTCGGAGAGAATTCAAAATAGTTTGAGACCACACCAAGCTTAACATCAAATTCCAAGCCGAGCCAAGTCAAGCCAAACCAAGATTTATAAGCGCTTTTATATTAAAATTTTGCTCGCTTTAATTACGAATATCCCAATATAACAAAATCTCTATCCTATTTGAAAAATTTTCATTGATGCTTTTTAATCAGTCAGGTCACAATCATCATCATCGATATCGTGGTGAAATCAAATTGAAAATTTTTAAAAATATTTGATAAAAATAACTAATATATATAATATATATAGTAAAAAGTTTAAATTTTTCTGAATGAATTCAAAATAATTTGAGACTACACCATAACACAATTGTACAATTTGAATGTGTAATATATATATATATATATATATATACGTAGTTATAATACATTTATATTATAAATGTAGTTATAATACATTTATATTATAAATGTATTATATATATATATATATATATATATATATATATATATATATATATTTCTTTATTTAGTTTTGTATGATATTTGGTCAAATTTTTTTGATAGGAATTGAATACAACCTTTATACAGGCTGATTAACTACCATGCAGTAAAATAACTACTGTTAATATGACGTCATTTCCCCCAACAATTTCGCAACGATATGCCCATCCTATTTTATAAATTTAATTTGATGTTTTTTAATTAGTCAGGTCACAATCATCATCATCATCGATATCGCAATGAAATCAAATTGAGAATTTTTTAAATTTTTGAAAAAGTATTTTTATTCATTTTATGATACTATTTTGTTCAATAAAATACTGTTTGATACATATAGCTAGAATTATTTTACAACCGTGATTTAGACTCGCCAGAAGACATACCTAATCCTCTTCTTTATAACATAAATTCACTTTTAGCTCACAAGTTCACTTTTAGTTAAATAACGTAAACATAAACAAAAGTTCTGCTTTTAATAAGTTTTCATCCTAGATTGATTAGGGCAGAATTAGTGATTAGTGTAATGTCTCAGTTGGAAATATTGTGCCCGAATGGACATCGCGTTGTCGTCAATGTCAGCGGTAATTCTAAAATACTACGGGTATTTTTTTATTCCATTAATTTTTAACTTTAGTTTAGTTAGTACTCCAGTGTACATTACATAACAAAAACATACATACTTGATTATTACATTCATACATTTACATTACGATTACATTTATCAATTTATATGATATGATATTATATTATATAATTAATTAAAATAATTATTTGAATGGTTGAAATTTAATATTATAAATTTGATTTGAAGTAATGCTTTTTGTGAAGAAATGACTGTTTAGTATTAGTTTATAGTTTTTTATAACAACTTTTAAAAATCTAGGTTCTTGATGAGGCTTGTTTGAAAAAAGGCTTCCTACCATGCACTGATTATGAATTGAGGTCATTTTTAATTGGATTTAACATTAAATTGATAAAATTGAATAAATTAATAAAGTAACTTATTAATTACTAGTAAATAGTTAAATTTTATTTTTACTCTTCTTGCAAAATTTTTGAATAAAGAAACGTTTCCTCTTTAACAGACATGGCAAAAAGGTTCTAGGACTCTCTTCCTCCATTCAGGAATCTAGCCTGCCTAATCACGCCAAACTTGAATTAGTGAAATGTGCAAAACCATGGGTGGAGTCAAAGGTTTTGGTGCAGGTACAGACATCGGAGGGGGGTAGAGTACAACGAGACTTCCTGCCTTCAGTTACGCTGTTTCAGTTGTTTGAAAGTTTTGAGGAAAATGATGGAAGGTGTATTTTGTGAAAAAAATTTTTTAATTTGAATTAAAAAAAAATTTTTTTTATGTTATTTCTTTTGTTTTTTGTTTTCAAGTTGTTAATTTCAGTAACCTAATTATTTATTAATTTTATTTTTGTTTTATTTTGTGTATCTAAGATTTTTTTATTAAAATATTGTTTAAACAAAATTTTTTTAAAACATCATATTTTCTTAGAGGAGGTCATATAAAGTTACTGTACCATAAAAATTCTAACTGGCATCCTGTTGTTAACTATGTTAAAGAAGAGGTTGGATGGTGGTTGATTGGTTGACTGATTGATTGGTTGGATGGTTGGTCGGTCGAATAATTGATTGGTTGTCGATTGATTGATTGATTGTTTGATTGGTTGGTTGGTTGGTTGGTTGGTTGGTTGGTTGGTTGGTTGGTTGGTTGGTTGGTTGGTTGGTTGGTTGGTTGGTTGGTTGGTTGGTTGGTTGGTTGGTTGGTTGGTTGGTTGGTTGGTTGGTTGGTTGGTTGGTTGGTTGGTTGGTTGGTTGGTTGGTTGGTTGGTTGGTTGGTTGGT